CCCCCCCCCCCCCCCCCCCCCCCTCCCCTCCCCTTTTCTCTCTTTGACCCAGCAGCAGCCATCATTAAAACAAGGCACGAATCCCTTTGTTGCAGCTTTTATCTACACAACAATCAGGGATTAGGGGATTCAGGGTCAAACTACTACAGGTCAAGACAAGATTAGCTCCAGGCCAGTCTTGTGACAATTCCCAAGGGAAGATGAGTTGTGAGCTCTGGCTGAAAAGAGGTGCCACACCCTCTCTGTCGGTCTCTTGTCTCGAAAATCCAGCCAGAGTTGAGCGCCAGAAAACCGTGACAATGCCCAAGGAAGGAAGGAAGCAAACAAGGAAGGAAGGAGGGAGAGGAAGGAAGAAAGAAAGAAGGCACTTTCCCTCTCCTCCTCTTGTCTGGCCTCTTTTCCTTGCACTTCAAAAGCCGGACATACATGGGGACACCCTGGTGCCGAAGCAGAAAGAATTCGTTCGTCAATGGATAGAGGAATGAATGGCCACCAGAGGCCACAGGTCCAACCACTCAATCAATCGAGTACGTCAATGAATTCGTCGATATCCGAATCATCTTCGTCTTCTTCATCGTCATCCTGATCAGCATTGCCTCTGTTAGGGTGGTTACGGTTTCCATCACCACCACCACCTGCTGCTGCATCTCCTCTTCCTCTTCCTCCTCCATTCCCCGCCTCTCCCTCCCTTTGAAGCGGATCTGCACCCTGCAGATCAACACCGTAGTCAACCCATGGAATCAACGATTCCAAGAACACGACGAACGCATTTCGCCTCTCCAACTCCCTATCCAGCATTTCCCTTAGTGCCAAGCCTTCTCCTCCTCCTCCTCCTCCTTCTCCTTCTCCTCCTCCTCCTCCTCCTCCTCCTCTTCCTCCTGCCCCCGCTCCTCGTCTTCCTCCTCCTCCTCGTCCTCCTCGTCCTCCTCTCTGCACCACTCTCATACCAGCCGGTCCAAACGCAGCCGGAAGTCCTGCCGCTCCCTGATTCTGTTCACCATCCTCGGGAATAGTTGACACTGTGTCTGAGAACTCGGAGACACGCAGGTGGCGGTACTCGTTGCTGGTCGATGGGAATGCCTCCTTCCTTGCGCAAGCCCAATTAGCGATCTCCACGGCTCCTCTCCCCGATCTCTCCTCTTCAGCCATCTGCGCCACAACCCTAGCTCCGTCGCGGAGCCAGTTCTGAACCTCCAACGGCCTCCACAGAAGATGCTGCCTTTCAACAAACACTTGGCTGACGTGTTCCAACGACGGACTTTCCTTCTCCGGATGCGAGAACAGCTTGCACTGCAACACATTCTTCCATTCCCCATCCACCTTTATAGGTACGCGGTCGATAAGCCTCTTTAAATTGGCGGGATGAAGCATCAAAGCTTGATGCAGCAGCTCGTCCGCCGAGGGATGGCTGTTGCACCCACCACTGGATACTTCTTCTACGCCAACGGCGGAGGAGGACTCCATCACATCTTCTCCTCCTCCTCCTCCTCCTCCTCCTCCTCCTCCTCCTCCTTCTCCTCCTCCTCCTCCTGAGCTCCCCCGTCGTCGGGGGGGGGAGGGTACCACTGCAGCAGCCATTGATTTCCTCCTTGCCTGAGTAGCTGCCGACCCTCCCGCTATCATCATCGATGAAAAAGAGGAAGCGAGGATTGATGATGACGATGGTGATGATGAAGAGGACGACGGAAAATTCGCCCCGCCGCCGCGAGATTGCACAGCAGGCACGTGAGAGTGAGATAAATCGTCAACCTCGTTGACCCTATCAGCTCTCACGGCTCTTCGTTGTGATCCCTGCGCCTGCTGGACCCGTTTGTCACGACCATCACGACCCGTCTGCCCCGATTTGCCCATCATCGTTTCCTCTTTTCTGAACTGCGCGAGGGCTAAGGAGAAGGCGAAATTAGGAAAGAGCGGCAGCGACTGGTCTCCACCCCATCGATCACACAGAGTCTCCAAGAAGTCGTACTGCTCAGACCTCAGCGCGTAGTAGTCGATGCAGAAGAGGGCGCCCAGAGGATCCCTGCGATCGAGCGCGAGTATCAGCTTGCAGATCTCCAGGGCCGTCCTGTGACATCCCCGTCGGCCCACGTGCTGCATGTGGCGGAACAGCGCGCCAAAGAAAGACCAATTAGCGTCGCTGGCATCGTAATCAAGCCTGCAGCGACCGGAAGAGGGGTTGAACCAGGGGTGCCAGGCGCATTCAAATGCGTACAAACATCGCTCAAGGCATTCTGCACTTGCCTGCCTCTCTCCCATCTGCTTGTACATTTCCGCCAGCGCCAGCAGTGAATCCACGTGATAGGGATGCTGTTGGACTAGCTCGGCTAAGGTATTGGGATCGAAGGAGTCGACACACCGCTGGTACTGCCTCTGCGCCTCCATGTAAGTCGAGGAGTACTGATATACAAACCAGTCGCCGTCGTCATCCTTCTTGACAAATTCCATTGAAATGCCGCCATCCCAACGAGGCCAGTGGTCCCGCGGCACAACCAAGTAATACGCGCGCCTTGTCCCGCCGGCGGCGCCCTTTTTCCGCACCCCTGCGTGCGCACCGATCATTCCTCCCCCGTGTCTGCCGTGCGCCCGTCCGGCCAAAAGACCGCCGCCGCCGCCGCCGCCGCCTTCCCCGCCCCTGTCAACGGCGTTGATTACCTTGGACCCAAAGATGCGACGCAGTTCGTCGCCCGCTCGCAAGAACCTCGAATCCACCGCCAGAAAACCCTTCTCAATTTCCGCCGATCCCGATCCCAATCCGCCGCCGCCGACACTCTTTCCAGCAGATGCAGCTGCTGCGGATTTCGCCCCTGCTCCCGCCGCCGGCGGCGGCGGCAGCGACGACGACGAAGAATCCTTGTCGCTTGTTGTCTTTCCCGCTTCTTCCAAATTTAGCTCTCTTAGGAGCTGATCGACATCAGCTTCTTCCGCCGCTGCAGCCCTTCTCCCACTTCGCCCACTTCGCCACGAGGTTGCCGTCCTCCCGCCGCCACCGCCTCCTCCTCCTCCTCCGCCGCCGCCGCCGCCACCGGCTGAATGCGAAGAGCTCGGCGCCGAAACCGCCTCCGATCCCGACCCGCCGCCGCCGCCGTTATCCCTGGCCGTTTGCCGCAGGGTGTGAGCAGACACAGTGGCGTTCATCGAGGTTCCACCTTTTCCCTTCTTTTTTCGGCCCGCCTTGTGAGGCTTCACAGAGCCTCTGGAACCTCCGTCATTGTCGTGGACCCACGTCTCCTTCGTCGACTGCGGCGCCATAGCCGCCGTTGTTTCCCTACCGCCACCATTGCCTCCAGTGTTGCTGTCATCATCCCGATCGGAAGCTTCATTTGGATCGGGATCCGCGTCGCCTAACAAGTCGAAGATGTTCCTTGCAGGGGCCTTAGCTTTCTCTCCTCCTCCATCGTCGTCAGAAGCTGTTGAAGTATCATCATCTTCTTCCTCGTTTTCCTTCTGCTGCTGCAGCTGCTGCTGCTGCTGCTGCTGCCTTTGCTGTTGCTGGAGGAGACGTTGGACCATCCGACTCGACATTTCGCCTCTGATTGCCTCTCACCCCAATCAAAGCGCGACAGATCACTTCCAATAACAGTGACACACTCTGTTCCCTCGTCGTTGGGAAATGACGGCGGTGAAAAGCAAAACAGAGACAGAGAGAGGAACGTCGTCACCCTGATTTGTTTTCACAAAAAGAATGACAGAGAAACAGGACGCCAACCTCCAGCCTTCCTGTTCCTATAATGTTTCTCTCTCTCTCTCTCTCTCTCTCTCTCTCTCTCTCTCTCTCTCTCTCTCTCTCTCTCTCTCTCTCTCTCTNTCTCTCTCTCTCTCTCTCTCTCTCTCTCTCTCTCTCTCTCTCTCTCTCTCTCTCTCTCTCTCTCTCTCTCTCTCTCTCAAACACACACACACACACACTCCCTGCCAGGTTGCAGACAAAATGGAGGAAGCTTTTTTTTTTTTTCCTGCAGAATGAAGCGAAAGCGAAAGCGAAGCTCCCCCAACTCTGACGCGGACGGATTGGGTCGACAACACACCCACAACAGTTATGGGTGTCGAGTTGCTGTTGATGAACAAAGAATCATGCTTTCGAATCATGAGTGAACGTATCTCTGGCCCTGATGGCACCTCGCACAGAGGCAGAGGCATGGGCAGAAGAACGACCCTGAAAGAGGGAAAGAACAAAACGACAAAACCGGGGAGACGAAACATCAAGCAGAAAAATGAGAGTGCTTGCTAGACCCTCCGTGAGTGGGAGAGAGAGAGAAAGGGAAGCAGGCGAGAGAGAAAAGGGAGGAGGAAAAGAGAGGAGGGAGGGAGAGAGGTAGAGGTAAAATGTGAGGAAAAGAGAGAGAAACGGAGGGAGAGAGAAAGAGAGAGATGGGAGAGTCTCGCTCTAAGGGACTGTACGGATGTGTGTGTTTTCACCATTCTCTGCTTTTCGGCTCTCATATCCTCTTCTCTTCTTCGTTCTTCTTTCTTCTTTCTTATTTCTATTTTTACCTCCTTAGTTAGCTATAATTCGATTCTCGCTGCAACTCCTTTTTTTTTTCTTTTTTTTTTGTAACCTCATCTATGATTGATTTTCTTTTTTAACCGGCCGCGAGGTAAGTGACAAAAAGTACCAGTATTTATTCGGTTCCTCTGATTGCAGCTGTATTCGACAAAATTGGGTCTGTCTGTATTTCAACAGTGCATGGGTGTACCAGCTGAGCTAGGTAGGCCCGTTGGTCTTCAGCTACGATTTTTTTATAATTTTTTATTTTTTTAACTCTTCCACTTTTCTTCTTTTTAAAGTTAACAAAAAGAAACATTCTTTCACTCTCTCCTTGTTTCGTCGTATGTTATTTGTTTTTTTTCCCCTGGATTTTCTTACTTTAGTTTTCTCTTTTGTTTTCAGTTTTCAGTTTTCAGTTTAGTTTTCTCCATTTGAGTTGAAAACGGACACCGCCCATGCCGGGCGGCCCCCAGCCCCTAAGTCAAGATTAAACAAATTAAATAAATGTAAAAAAAATGAGCAGCCACAGTGACTCAAGGACTAAGTTAAGGGAGGGCCACAACAACACTCCCGAATCCTGATAAGCAATCAATACTGAAAGAATAGATGTGAGTTCAGGGAACAAAACAGAGCCCTCCTTGGACAGTCCTGACAGCACAATACATATACAGCCCACGCTGTCAACTAATGACGCCTACAAGAACTGAATCACGGAGCTGGTGAAAAACCTATCTAAAAGCCTCCAGCCAATTTCTTTGCCAAAAAACGAATCATACTGTCCGTGATGTCCAGCGAGTGAGCAGTTGCCTACAGCACCCATGCAGATACGCACTGAGTGTATACAAACACAGCAGACAAACTCCCCGCAGCACACAAACACACACACACACAAACACACACACACACACACACACACACACACACACACACCAAAACGCACATGCACATGCACACACCCATACCCACCCACACACACACGTATTAAGCAAGGAATTCAAGCACTACAAGAGAAAGAGAAAAATGTCCCTCATGTATCACTCTTATGCTGTTGCAGCATCCAGGTCTCGACAGTATGGTCCACTTGGAGTCGTCGTTAGTGTGGTCCTCCCACCTTCTGGCTCCGCATTCACACGCTTCGGGTTTTGGGTTCCAACCTTCGGCTTCTCCCCACGCTTCAGCATTTCCAAGATCTTAACTGCACTCTCCGGTGTCAAGTCTTCATAGTAGTTGTAACTATACCCCTCAACACCGTTGCTGTAGTCACCAACAGCAATCATGGGCGCATTGACGCAGCATCCCATGCACTCCATCTCTCCAACTGAGAACATGCCATCTGGAGTTACCTCGTTGCGTTTTACTCCAAGGTGTTCAAGAATGGCCAATTCAATGCTTCGTGCGCCTCTGACCATACATGGTGTTGTCCCACACACATGGATATGATATTTTCCAACCTTTTGCCGATTGAACATGGAGTAAAAGGTTGCCACTTCATAGACACGAATGTATGGCACACCAAGAATGTCCGCAACCTTGTTCATGGCGGAGATGGACAACCAACCACCATGCTGCTGCTGAGCCAAGTCCAGAAGTGGGATGACACCTGACTGCTTGTAGTTGGAGGGGTAATGCGAAAGTATCTCCTTGACCTTTTCCATGTTCCCCTCCGTGAACTCGAAGCCCACATTTGGATTATTCTCAGCAGTATTGCGATGGATGTTCAAACTCGTCGAGTAGCCCCTCGCCAACACAGAAGCTGATGCGAAGGGTACCCTCTGGGCGGGCCGCAGAACAGGAAATGACTCAGCAGCGACAGCAGCGGTCATTGAAATCGCAGAGGCATTCCGGCTGCTACCTTGAGCGTAACGCCATGCTGTGCCGAACACAGTCGCAGATCGCCTCAAGATGGCTCTTCCTAGCATGTTTGCTTTCGAGAAAAACGAATCTGGAAACCGGTTTGCAGCCGAACGGCTGTCCCTCCACTGTCGACGCTGTGCCAAACTGGCGATGGCGATGGCGATGATGACAAGCACACTGGCTGGCCACTGGCGATTTTCTACAAACGGAAGCCAAGGCTGCTCTGCCAGCTGGAGACCTCAACTTGGCCTCCTCACTACCATCAAGCCAACCAACACTGCGGGACGCTCTCACATTAGGTTAGGGGCTAACGTTTAAACAATAGCATATTCGCTCAGAAAGAGAGAAGATCAACAAGGACTAAGTTAGTTTTGATGAGCCCCTTTTTTTTTCTTTTTTTTCTTTTTTCCTATCAGATTTCACTCAAGACCTACGGTAGTAGGTTTCGCCGGGAGTCTCCCCGGTCGAGCAATAGTCCGGCTGGTTTTTATCTCTCGATTTCACCGTTGGGGGAAAAATGCGACCGCCGAGATAGTAAATCCCAAAGCGGCCTCTTTCCAGTGTATCACCTCTTTGGAGTGGGGTCTACGGGAGAAGGGAGATTCCACAGTCCATCTCTCTCTCTCTCTCTCTCTCTCTCTCTCTCTCTCTCTCTCTCTCTCTCTCTCCTCTCTCTTATACACATCTAGATGTGTATAAGAGACAGGTTCTGCACTGAGCACGTTAGCATAAAGTGCGACAAATTATTCAAAACATGTGCCCCCACCCACATTTTCCCATTCTCTGTGTCCATGTATACCGCCCCTTCCTCCCTCCACCTCCCTCCCTCCCTGTTCCCACGCACGAAGGGGCAGATTACCAGCTTTCTTATGCTTGCTTATGCTTGCCGACTGGCAAAAGGCGAAACTGCACTCGTCGCAATCGAGTTGTCCTCATCGACTCCCCGAAACAGGGCACAGACCATAAAACGCCTAACATTATTGATTGTCAAGCACAAAACAATCTAAGCCCCCACTTCCTCCCCTTCCCTCCTCTCCCCACTCCTCCTCTCCC